TATAGATAAGCCATTCACAGCACAGGAAATAGGACTGAGAGGAAAATAAAGCAAATCAAGTGCCATCTTTTCACAGATATGCTTGATAGTTGCAGTGCATCCTGATTATTTGATGTTGTATGTTGGAAGAATTGTTGACTGTCTAGTGACCTGAAACGATGCACATGATGATTTACTAGGTTACTTGGAATCATGGTTCATTTTTCTAGTGTAGATTGTGGTGTCAAGCCAGATACCCTTCTTTTATTGTAAGTGCTGAGTTGAAATCAGTCTTTGTTACTGTTAGTCCCATGCCTAGAGGTGCCTATCTGAAAAGGAAAAGGTCATTAGCAAAAAGTATTTGAGGTGTGAGTATGCTTATTTTTAATTTTTATTGTTTTAAGTACTTGAAAATAAATGCTTTGAAGAGCTAAGTAGGAGAGTTAATTGTAGAGCTATGGATTTGAGGGGAAACATGGCATTTATTGGCAATATAATGTCCACAGATGCTTTCCAGTAAATATATTGCATAGTTTAGATTACAAGTGATTTCTTTCAAACGTTAGAATAAGCAGTTGTCATCAGTAATTTTGTAGAATAACATGAGTATAATTTATTTATTGGAGTTTTCTACTGATGCCTACTTATAGTGCTTAAATTATTATGTATATTAGCTGTTCATCATAAAAGATGAGATTAAAAACTTGTTACATTTTTCCAAATGGTATTAACTGAATAGTTTTTCCTATAATTATATATTTCTTGAACATTGTTTATCAAGCAAGTAAGTGGATTAATTAGCGTTGTTAATATAGTTTTTGTCCTAAAATTCTTTTTTTTCCCTTCTAATGCATGTTATCCTAGCTATATGTTTCTTTTTCATTGTTGTTTAGAGAATGCAATTGGATATAATTCTGACAAGTTTACAAGATCATACACACGTAGCCTCCCTTCTTGGCTATAGCTCACCTTCCGATGCTGCTGACCTTTCGACTGTGTGCCTGGGATATGGAAACCTGTCAGATCAGCCGTATGGCCCTCAGACCTGCCATCCAGACACTCATCTGGCCGAAATTTTAATGAAGACTCTCTTAAGAAATTTAGGGTTTTATACGGTACCTTGCTTTTTCAATATATTAAGAAAAGAATAAAGGGGTAAGGATCTTTTTAGGTCAAAGTATTGTAATATTTAAACAGTATAAATAAAATTTTAGATTTCCTTCTCCAAAGATAGAAACATGTCAGCTCTAAAATACTGTGGTGGCCAAGTAATATGTAACTTAATATGGCATGTTAAAATTTTATCAAGTGTTTCTCATGTCATAAAGAAGAATAAACGTAAAAATAGTTTTCTAAACATACTTAAAATATAATCTTCTTTATGTGTCATTTTAGGATCAAGCATTTGGAGAGCTAGAAAAGAATAGTGATAAATATCTTCTTGGAACATCATCTTCAGAGAACAGTCAGCCTGCTCATCTTCATGAACTACTGTGTTCATTACAGAAACAACTGCTTGCTTTTTGCCACATTAATAACATTACTGAGGTATGAATTCTGTGTTTTTCATGATGCTCTACTAGGAACGTAGAACTCAGAGAGTTGGGGATGCCGTGTTATTTTTGTACTTTGGATCTTTCAGAGTAGTAATTTAGGGATTGTGTTTTCTTGGCAGAACTCAAGCAGTGTGGCATTGCTTCATAAACACCTGCAGCTTTTGTTGCCTCACGCCACAGAGATTTATTCACGTTCTGCAAATTTGCTTAAAGAAAGTCCTTGGAATGGCAGTGTTGGAGAAAAATTAAGAGGTGAGTGTGATGTTGAATTTCACATTTAACCACTGGCTATAAAGCAAGAGCTATTGAACTTTTCCAAACCTTCAAGAGGGCCTTTTAACCTCTGTATGCAGGAGAAATGATCCTGAGGTTTGTATTTGTTGTTTCATTTCATCTTGGCTCAGGGTGACGTAACAGTGATTGATCTTAAAGGATTCTAATTATCTCAATAGATATAATTTAAAGGCATTAGGTGATATAAACCCAAACAGTTAATTTATGATATAAAGTAACATTCTTATCTACTGCACATTTTGGCAGTAATCTGCCTTCCTTTCTTTTTATCAAGACAGGGTCTTCTGCTGTAGAGTATGCCATTCTCAGTCTCAAAGCAATCCTTCTGACTCAGTCTCCCATTAAAGGTTGTGGGATTATTAGCACACCCTGTCCAATTTTCTTCTTGAAATGCCTTCTTCTGTGGGCTTTGTTTTGTATAACATAGTCCTGCTTTTTCTTACCCATGGGCTTTGTTTTGTATAACATAGTCCTGCTTTTTCTTACCCATGGG